CTTATCTTCCACTGTGATTAGACACACCACGCATAAGTTGGTTTACTCTTACAAGTATTTGTGGATTTTCATCGTAAAACCAATGGCAACACGCAAATTCGGTTGCATCACCATTATTGTAAGTCATGACGTCCGCCAATGACGGGAAATGCTCCCAAATGGGAGCTACCCGTACGTCCTACAAATGCTTGATACTGTTCAAGCAGGAAGGAGTTAGAAAAGTTGGATCCACTTTCCTTTTGCTAAAAGTTTCTGTGGGACGTACTGCGTGAAACATTTTAAGGTAATTGTATGTTTTGAACAAAACATCACGTCTACCAGAGGACGGTACCGTGAATTGTATTCTCTTGCATATCCTTTACAATGGCACGCCCTCTTGAATCGCGTTTTGAGGTGTTTATTCTTCGAAAGCGAGTCTGCTTTAAAGACCAGTAGACCGTATCCGTTGTTACTGCCATCTGGTGACGCCAACATTGCATGAGTGTAAAACCAGTTTTTGTGGACATGTAAATCCATTAGTGATTGGTACTGCCTGGCGCCATTGTCGGTTTAAACAAAGAATGGTAGTAAAGAACTTTTAGGATGGCAGCAACAAAGTCTCGTATCACGACATAGTGAGACACATGTTTGTTGAAACCCCGGTTTCATTTTATTTAGTCAATTCAATCCGCAAAACATATTCCTGCACGTTTGGAGTGATGTTTGACTTCACTCTGTTCATTATTTGATCACTTGATTGATGAAAGAGGCTATTCGGCCGGCCGTCTTAAGATTGATGCTTGGCATTGGCTACCTGCGAGGGCGAGCAAAGAGAAAAATAGCACTGATGACACAGAGTTAAAACATGTCGAAAACAGTCTTGAAATGTGGGAGTAACACAAATAAATAAATAAATAAATAACCGATCCTGAAAGTAGCTTCTAAAGAAATGGGGGCGACATGTTTCCATTCCCATGAATTCGTGAAAATGCACGGAATGAAAGTGGAAGGGGGGAGTGATTGCAAAGCCTTTAATAGAGTAATGCTTTATTTTAGAGATGCAAATCACATTTTTATGTTAAATAAACCTCATCCGAATACAAATTATTTAAAGTGACTGATGAACATTTGTGCTCGGATGGTATGCTGTTGCTGGCATGAAATTTCCCACGCTGGTCAACAAGTAAGTCGCCTGCCATTGGATGAAGCTGTTGACAAGGTAAGACTGTCCTTTGGGTTCGCGCTCCGTGCATTACCAATGCAAGCGGATACAGCTCTGTGGTGGTTGCAACTTCTCTTCATCCCCCGATAAGTTCTGAGGCCTCGACGCGCCATTTTCCCCACCTCTTTTCACTTCATGCTAGGGGAGAATACAGTTCAATGATGAATTCTGCAAATGTCTTATGAGAAAGGGCATTCACACCCCTTAGCGATGCCGAATCATTTCAGCAAATGAACGGATGCTTCCACTTTTATGTTGTTTGAGCCACTAAAATGCCGCACAGCACAGCTGACTGCACCTCAAAGTTGAGCAACAGCTACTAAATCGGTGAGAATGTTTTTGTACATTATATTTCAAGAAGACCAAGTGGTTCACAATTTGCATGAACTTTGTTAGAAATATTCGAATTGAGAATCAGACAAATCTGACACCTTCTTGAGAAGGTAAGTATGCTAGTTTAATGAGCTCAAGATACAAGCATATTGGTATGGGGTTGTGTGTTATTCTTCAGTCCTCAAAATTTGTGGCCCCCGTGTAGTATGCTTATGAGCGCGAACATTTGACCAAAATGTCCTTTAGTGGAGTACGTAAATATTGTGATGACATCTAACTCATGCTTGTAGTTACCTCTGAACGGTCCCTAAAAACCTTTTGATTTCACCACTCCTCAAAGCAATTGCACCCTTGTGCACGCTTACCACTGACAGAATCACCTGTCCTCCATTCAAACCGCTACCTCGATTTATTTGGTTCACTGCCCTGTAACTGATGTAATTCGAAACTAAAAACAATCGTCAGCATAGAAGGGTAGTAATGCCAAATGTAAACAAGGATTTGAAAATATTTGGTGGAGTGCCTTATTCTACCGAAATTCAGTTGGTGACTCATTTGGCAGTGTGCAGAACTTCCCATCTCCACTGTTAACACAAATTCCTATTATGCGTTAATTAACGTAAATAAAAACATTTTGATTCAGTTTTACTGACGGTTATGCTTTCGGAATAAGGGGATCGAGCATTTCAACTTTGACAATTTCACCTCCAACCATTGCTTGCTCGATATCGTACTAATACAAGGCTTAACATTCAGTGTTGAATAGTCCCAAAAGGCCTAACTAACTAACCAACTAACTGTCCGATGTGTTATAGATTGTGTTTGTTGACAAAACCCTTTGCTCCTTTTGCATGATTCGCCCTAGTGAAGTGATGCGATGAGGTGTAATGTTTTATCTGCAACTGAGAATAAGGAGAGATAAATCAAACCGCGGGATTTAAATAAGAGAAATCCAATTTTGATGTGAATATTTGTTGGAGTTATTTGCAATGCTTCCCGGTTACATCTGATTGTGAGGAATGAGTCGGATAAAATCCTGTTACATAGCTATTTAGTTAACGCCCTGAGCGCACACAATCTTTGCTGTTTGTAGTAAACACCTATTTCCAGGTACACTGAAGTTTACGTTTCATATTTTGCAAAAAATCAAAAAAAAAAAAACAAAAAAACTTGAGGCATTCTTATCCGATGCTTTCACATTTTAGTACGCTAATATCCGTTCTACTGACAAAGGCATCAGTAATAGCGACTGACATCCAAAAGCCTAGTTTATAGCTAACCACAGATAAATGTAATTGTAAGACTGCAACAGAAACTAGATTCGGCCAAGCAGATGCAACATATATGAAGTAGGATGAATATCGTCTTCCTCTTGTAAAACAGATCAGCAGACGCAGTTGTGTGTGATAGACTCGTTGACACCCATCTTCGGGTATTCACCATCACCTAGTTCCCTTTGCACAAAGCCCGACTCATATTCATAGACCCAACCCAAATAAGTAAATATAGTCTATCTTTCCACATTGTACGTTGTAGAGCATTGCAATGCTTTGATAAAGGGGCCGCTCATGGTTTGCTGCTGCACCCTTACCGAGTGGATGATCCCAGGCCGAACCAGGGCCTCTAGTACGTTCTTTGTGTCCAATGTACATAGGCATATATGGTTTATCTTAATACAGTGTGCTTCTTCGCCCTTGAGCAAGCATTTAAGTACTACATTAGCGGCAATAGTAAGCAAACCGACCTTAAATGACATCTATCCCCATTAGTGCTACTGAGTGGTATGCCACAGTTGGTTGAAAGAAGCGTGCACACCACAAATGGGCACACTATCAATCCCACCTTTACCAACTAATCAGTGCCATTTCACATAGGTAATCAACTTTTGTATCATTAGTTGTATTGTTACATTTATTTTCATTATTATTGTTATTTTGCATTATTATTTCGTACACGTACATTCTGTCCCAGTGTAGTACTTGTAAGCCTTCTGAACGTTTTAGGACTCCACAGTATGTACTTCTCAACCACGTATTAAGATCACCGTGTAAATTTGAAGCTCTGAAGTGCCTGCGAGGAAAAAGTTCTCTTTGCAATCAGTAATTAGACATTCTTTTTAATTTTCTGCCATTTTCGAACCGAAATACTAAACTATTTGACACTGTTAACCATTTAAGGAGGTCAACTTCTCTCAAAAGGAACCTACACTCATCTTATTTTGGAGTAGCGTGGACGAAACGCGGTTGAGCTTCTAATCCTTTCACTCGGTACAGCGTGGTTTATGACGCAGGTTATGGTCTGGACCTGACGAGAACGAGAGAATTTATAAATCTTTCTTCCTCCTCGGACTCCTCAGCCCTCTCCTGAGAGCATGAACATCTGGCACGTTATTGGACCCTCCAATCTGCTCACCTGTAGGGCTTTGTTCCGTCTCCCTGCATAGCAATAAACTGG